TGCAGTCTTGAATAACAAAGGGTCTGTTATTGATACAACGGAAGAGGGAAGGGGTTCCAATCGGCGGCTGTTTTCGGTAAGAAGGCTGCTGAAAAGAATTTGGTGCGGCAAAACGGAATGGGCAACCTTATGCTGATGATCAATGCGCGATGAGTGGTATGACGGTTGTGAAATGAGGTCTCGCTTCATTGATGGATTGTGAAAAAATATCTTATGAAAAAAATGCAGTCGCGCCAGTTTCCTCCGCAGTTAAATTGGGTAGGTCAAGGTTAGATTTCATTTCTGATATGCTAGCAGTACGGGAATAATTAGAACAAATGAACCGAACTGAGCGGTTCTGAACAGATTCTAACGCGTTAATTAAATTTTGCTGCACGGGATCCCATATAGCGGACGCGTACTCAAGCTTTGGGCGAATTAGTAATCGGTATAATAGAATTTGAGGGACAGCGGAGCGCGAGAAAAGTTGCGGCGTAAGTATCCTAGCGTTCGGTTAGCGTTATTACAGATGTAGGTAACATGCGTGGGCCAAGATAGATTGGTGGTAATGTAAACGCCGAGGTACTTATATGAAGAGACATGCTGGAGGGGAACGGCGTTAATTCTGTAGGTACAGGGGGGAGAAATAGATCGCCGGGTTATTGACATGCATTTAGATTTGTTAGAGTTGAGAGTCATAAGCCATTTATTGCACCAGGTTGAGACAGTGTCAAGGTCTGACTGTAGAAATTGGTTATCATATTCATTGTTTATTTCGCGGTAAATTACACAATCATCTGCAAATAACCTTATAGCGGAGTTAATGCTGTCTGGGAGATCATCAATATATATAAGAAAGAGTAAAGGGCCTAATACGGAACCTTGGGGTACGCCAGATGTTACTTTAGAAAGAGGTGAGTTATAGCCATTAGTTGTTACAAACTGAGTGCGATTAGTCAGAAAGCATTCAATCCATTTAAGAATGTTCGGGTCAATGTTCAAGGCACTAATTTTTGAGGAGGAGTAATTGGTGAGGTACTTTATCGAAAGCTTTTTGAAAGTCAAGAAAAATGCAATGCACAAGTGAGCCGCGATCTAAAGCCGATCCTATGTCATTAGTAAAATAAAGAAGTTGGGTTTCACATGAGTAACTTTTTCGGAATCCGTGCTGGTAGGGAGTAAAAAAAAAAATTTGATTCTAGGAATGAGACAAGGTTGGAGTAAATTATATGTTCTAACATTTTACAAGGAACACTGGTTAGGGAATTGGTCTGTAATTGAGAGGAGACTGTGTGTTACCAGATTTGTGCAGAGGGACCACCTTCCCCACCTTCCAGTCAAGCGGCAAAGTGGAGGTCTGAATAGATTGCGAAAAGATTAAGGACAAGTAAATTGATGAATACAATGCAGTGTTTTTTAGAAACTTTGAGTTGATTTCATCTACGCCACAAGAAGAGGATACTTAAGCTTGTGAATTAAATTTTGCACTCCAACGGCATCAACGGTAACAGGATACATGGGTAAAAAATCACGACTAGGCATTTGCGGCAACGCAGAAGCAGAACAACTTGAAAAAGAAGTAACAAAAAAAATCATTTAATGCAATGCAACACTCTTCACAGCGAACTGGCTGCCCATCTGAGTTCGTAAGCGAAATGTTTATCTTTTCCCTAGGTTTAACAGTTTTCCACAGCAATGTAGTAATTGGCAGGGCGTTCTTCTAAATATCAAATATTATGAACTTGTCTTCCAAGAGACTAAATCTCACTGGTGCCCGTCTGGCTGTGTGGTTCGGAATATATAGAAAATTACCTACAGTGAACTGACCAGCTGTAGTAAGGGCTATTCATTCAATCAATCATTCATTCATTCATTCATTCAATTCATTCATTCTTCATTCATTCATTCATTGAATTGCAGACAAAAAGGTTTACCTAGGTTGAAGGTACTAAAGCAGATTACCTCTGTCTGACTAAGGTCCCTCCATCCATAAACTTGCTCAGATGCAGTGAAAGAAAAGATACATGTTTTCCTTTCTTTTTCAAAGCGGGCGACGGAGAAATAAAATTTATAGGCTATAACAGATGTTAAACCGCACACTCTGAAATGATACGTCACAGTCAACAACCTTTCGTGATTAATATCGTATTCATTTTACATAAACTTAATGGGAGTATCATGGTCCTAAGTACTTTGGGTAGTGTTATTTCCATAACGTGAAATTATGGTGGCTTCCTAAATACGCCGCGCATAGAAGCCGCCTGAGTGGTCACAATAAAGTACACCTAAAATGTACACAAAGCATATAGCGTCACTGCCCAGCTTTGGTGGTCATAACAGAATAACAATGCATTGATACTATCTACACCTCGGAGCTTGGTGACATCTTTTCAGCTGTTCATAACGTGTGCAACGTTATGTCAGCTGTCGTACGGTTAAAACACCTGTTCCTCATACATTTGTAAAATATTCTGGCTTTCTAGGCTTCAAGAGCCTTGTGAACTTGCATATATCATCATCATCATCATCATCATCATCATCATCTTCAGCCTGACTACGTCCACTGCAGGACAAATGCCTCTCACATGTTCCGCCAGTGAGCTCGGTCCTGTGCTCGCTGCTGCCGATATATACCTGCAAACACCTTAATCTCATCTGCCCACCTAACCTTCTGTCTCCCCCTAACTTGCTTGCCTTCTCTGGAAATCCAGTTAGTTACTCCTAATGACCAGCGGTTATACTGTCTACGCGCTACATGCCAGGCTCATGTTCATTACCACTTGATTTCAACTATGATATCCTTAACCCCGGTTTGTTCCCTAATCCACTCTGCCCTCTACTTGTCTCTTAAGTTTACACCTACCATTTTTCTTTCAATTGCTCGCTGCGTCGTCCTCAATTTAAGATGAACCCTCTTCGTAAGTATCCAGGTACCGGCAAGATGCAGCTCTTAGATACCTTCCTCTTGAGGGATAGTGGCAATCTACCTGACATGATTTGAGAGTGCTTGCCAAATGTGCTGCACCCTTCTTATTCTTCTTGCTCAATCTCGTGGCTCTGCTCTGTGGTTATTACCTGTCCTAAGTAGAGATAGTCTCTTACAACTCCAGGTGCACTATTACCTACCTCGAAGTGCTGCTCTCTTCTGAGGTTCTCGAGCATTACTTTCGTTTTCTGCAGGTTAATTTTAAAACCTACCTTTTTGCTCTCCTTGTCTAACTTCGTAACCATGAGTTCCAATTCATCCCCTGAGTTACTCAGCAATGCAATGTCATCAGCAAAGCGCAGGTTACTAAGGTACTCTCTATTAACTCTTAATACTAGCTGTTTCCAAGCTAGGCCTCTGAAAACCTCCAGTAAGTACACGGTAAATAGCAATTGGGGAGGTTGTATCCCTTTTCTTACATCCCTTCTTGATTGGTATTTGTTGCTTTCTTCGTGAAACACTATGGCAGCAGTTGATCACCTGTAGATTTTTTCCAAGATGTTTATATATGCTTCCTTGACGCCCTGATTCCACAGTGTCTGCATGATTGCTGATATTTCTACTGAATCAGACGACTTCTCGTAATCTATGAAGGCTATGTGTAGTGGTTGGCTATATTCTGAGCATTTCTCTATTACCTGATTGATAGTTTGACTGCGGTGTATTGTTGAGTAGCCTGTTCGAAATCCTGCTTGTTCTTTTCGTAGATTGAATTCTAATGTTGTTCTAATTCTGTTAGCAATGACCTTTGTAAATAGCTTGTATTCTATGGAGAGCAAGCTGATCTGCCTTTAATTCTTCAATTCCTTGTCACCTCCTTTCCTTTGTATTAGGATGATGTTAGCATTCTTCCAAGATCCTGGTACTCTTCTCATCAGGAGACAGCTTGTAAACAGGGTGGCTAGTTTTTCTATCACAATCTTTCCTCCATATTACAGTAGATTGGATGTTACCTGATTCTCACAAGCAATTTTGCCTCTTTGCATGCTCTCCAAGGTTTTAATGGATTTTGTCTTTACTGGTGGTGGGGCATGAGGGTTACTACTAGTCCTTATAGTAAGGTCGTGGTTGTCCCGGCTGCTATACAGATCTCTCTAAGACTACTCCGCTATTTTAACTAGCCTATCTATATTGGTAGTTATTTTATCTTCCTTGTCTCTTAGTGCATACATACAATTTTCGCCTATCTCAAGTTTCCTATTAACTGCTTTGACGCTTCCTTCATTCTTCAGAGCATATATATACATGTATATACACATATATAAACACCCGAACAAAATTTTCGCAGTTTGCTTTAAAAAACCCCGCATACATTTCGACCTGAACGAAAGTACATTGTAGTACACTATAGTGAAAGGTTAAGACAAACGTTTGATGTGGACAGTTGTGATTATGTCGCGATGTAACAATGCAGCATCATATTTTTCTGAGTTTTATTTCTTAACTTTTTGCAGCAATCGGAGCGGGCATGGTGTTCGTCGTCTCTCCTACAATCATCAGTGAGCACTTCGTCAAGCACAAAGGCCTCGCCACAGGAGTGTATTTTTTGGGCGCCACCATGGCGGCCTTTGTTTTTCCGAAGTTTCTGGAGTACCTGTATGAGAGGTACGGCCTGCACGGCACTCCTTTTGATCTTTGGAGCAGTGCTCATGAATGGGCTTGCGTTCAGCCTGTTCCCTCGCACTCCCGAATGGAGGAAGGCCGCTCCCCTGGAAGAGAAAAGGGGCAACACCGAGTTATCGTCGTCGGAGGAGAAGGGCAGATTGTGGCGTCATGGACTGAGCATCTTCAAGTCACCCATCCTCTACCTCTTCATGTACAGTTTCATCGTGCAGAGCTTTGGTTACGAGTGCTACATCGCGCTTTTCATTGACTTTGCCGTGGATCGAGGAGCTACCCTTTCCACTGCAGTGACAGTGTATGCCGTGGGAGCGATCGCTGAAGCCTTCGCCAGGCTCTCGCTTCCAGCAGCAGTTGACCGTGGACTACTCTCGAACAAGGACACTACTGGTGATTGTATTCGCAGGCCAGGTTTAATACTGCTCGCACTGCCGTTCTTGCACAGTCACGGACTCATCTTCGCCGCTTCTGTGGGTACAGCCTGTACGATTGGTGCTGGAATGATCGTGATTCCCGTTACTGTATCCGGCTATTTTGGTGTGGAACGAATGTCGATGTCGTACGGCATCATCGTTGCTTCGGCTGGGTTGTTCTCATTCGGAAAACCTACAGTCATAGGTAAGTCGTAGGCGACGGCAAAACACTGCAACTCTGCGCCTAATAGACGGCAATGTAGGGCACAGACTACTTTTTTTTTCTTCAATGTTTGTCAGATGGAGTTTTGCTGGCTTACTGGTGGCAAAATACGCAATAATCGGCCATAGTAATACTAACTGGCGATTTCATACTACGTCTTTGCGAACTTAACAACGAAGGGCTTCATTCACAGTGATGTTGGACTCGAACACTCAAACATAGACGTACGCACGAGGGGACGGTCTCAGCATCTCCCCCCATAGTCACCAAAAGAGGGACGCGCCTGCGGCGGCTGCATTTTCGATGGAGACAAAAATGCTTGGGTCCCATGTGCTTACATTTAGGTGCACTTGAGCCCAATGTGTTTACACTTTAGGTGTATTTAAGTGCGGTAAGGAAAGAGTTGAAAAGCCCCAGGTCGTCTCAATTTACGGAGCCCTCCACGACGGCATCTCTCGTAATTATATGGTAGGTCTTAAAACGTCCGACCCCAACATTTATTATTAGCTAAACTTTATTAAAACATACCACTAATGTGGAGCTTCCCGTCTGCTTAGTTACAAACTGTACTTACGTGTAACGAACTGCAGAGTTTCTTATGTTATATCAACTTGCTAAAGATCTTACACTTTCTTATCCGTAATCGCAAATAAATAAGTCAAACCCTTTCTGACTTGTGCTGCCGAGGTCATTTACGAGATTCTGTTAAGTCTTACATCACCATAACTGGTTCGTGTGTTAACGACGGGTGAAGCAAGTACTATGGTCCGTCTTTAAAAGCTGCTATGCATGGCATTCACCAACTTCCACACGTCATACAGTGCTGCTGCGCACGGCTACCGCATAATGCAACAATTCTCTGCCATGGTGTAGCAGTGGGTATGGTATGGCGCTCCTCTGCTGACCGGAATGTCATGGTCTCGACCCCGGCAGTAGCGATCACATTTAATGGAGGTGAAATAGTAAAACACGTGTACTGTGTGACATCTATGGACAACAAAGATCACCGTGGCCCAAGTTTTCGGAGCCCTACACCACAGGGTCTCGAATAATTATATCGCAGTTTTGGGGACCTATAAAACCGCAGATATTATTATAATCAACCATACAAACAATCAATCAATCAATAATTTGCCTAACGTGCCGAGGAACGACAATAGGATTCTTGTGCAGGTGCACGCAAAATTAAAACAATAAAAACAAACACATATTACAGTCTACAGAAAAAACATAAACAGAGCGTGAACGCACCGACAAAAAGGAATCAGTGCAAAGTGGGATAATGATACGCCGCGTTTAACGTCCCAACACCACCATAAGATTATGAGAGACGCAGCAAAATGGCACAAGACGGTAATCATAGACGGCAGTGACAAATAAAGTGGAATACACACAACTGAAAAACGCTCCCTCAAAAACGGAAAAGAGAAGAATCGATGCACTGTATTAAGACAGTGCAGAGCTGAGACAAAAACATTGAAAGTGAACTGTGAAAACATCAAGATCCTGGAAGATAACATTATATAGACTTTGTATTCTGTGAGGAATAGTGTTTAAAGAAGTTGGCAGGTACATGAAGTGGTCGATTCTCTCAGGTCAACTAACGCGGAATCCAAAATTTACGTAACTGGGAAGTAAAGGGCAAGTAAGCATACTGTGAACTAGTTTGTAAAAAAATAAAAGGTAAGTGTAATTTCATCAGAACTGAAATGATGGCAATGATAATGATCTGGCACTGTTAGAACAAGATCCACAAAAGTCATTTCTAGCAAAATGATGGTTCAAAACGCTACGAAGTTACCTGGGGCGGCTCAATGACGATTTAGCCAGATTTAGGCATATTTAGCAATACCATGCCAGATCACAGATGCATACTCAAGTTGAGAAAGACATATCGTGGTGTACAATTTCTGGAAGGCTGCAGGAGAAATGAATCCTCAAGTGATTTTGCAAACACAGCCCAGAGAACGAAGGCCTGGCGTGGTAGCAAGTTTCTGTAAGCAGAAGAATTCAACATGCTATCAAAAGGACACCAAGATCACTGAACTCATAAACCTTACATAACGACACTGTATTGACAGAGTGAGGAAATGACACGATAGATGTTTCACGAGATATACTGGTGAACTTGGTTTTTGATGTATTCAGAAAAAAGTTATCGCTATCACACCACGCGAAAAACCATTTCTTTTGTGCTCGTCTCTGTGCGCTACTTCATAAGTAAACATAATTTATTACCACCAACTCGCCCAGCCTTCAATGTTATTATTATTATTATTATTATTGTTATTATTATTATTATTATTATTATTATTATTATTATTATTATTATTATTATTATTATTATTATTATTATTATTATTATTATTATTATTATTATTATTATTATTATTATTATTATTATTATTATTAAACAAGTGTTGCAAAGTCTAGTGGCAGACTCGCGAGGTATACTGTCGAGGCAGGGCAAACGCAGTATTTTAGAAATGCACAATCATACTCAAAAGTTTCCACACCACGCTTTGATAGAAATGCGGAGGATAGTGGCCTAGGAACTTCTGACCCACTCCCTCTTGTACGTCATATATTCGGTCAGTCGCGTTGATAGGCAAAGAACTGTGATATTAGCAAGGTGATGGGGTATTAGAAACTTTTCAGTTGGTCAGATATGAACTCCATTAGCGACTTGACGACTCATGCGCGCCCACTCCGCCTTCTTGGGTTCTTTTCAATAAACTTGAGTTGTACCCCCGAATGCAGAGATGTTACTTGACTCGTACTTGACTCGTTCTTGACTCAAGACAGTCTTGCCAGTCACCATAAATCGTTCTCGAACTTGCGGACGACTTAAAGGCGACTTGGCTTGGTCGAAGTCAGGACAAGTTTCAAGTCAGCTGCGGGGCTAGCTTGAAAGTGACTTCATGCGTTATTTCAACATGGCCACCTCTCAAATGGATGTCGCGTGGAGGGTGGCCGCTTTTGAGTTTGCTTGCCTCGCCATAAGCGTAGAATTTCCTGGGGCGCACTGCCTGCCGAAAATTTTAGGACCCGCTTTACGTGACCGAGAAAATTCGATGGAGGTTTTACGACGAGGAACAATTCCACGCTCGATACAGATTCACGAAGAACGCCGTTCGGCATGCTGGGTATGTTGCCGCTCCGTGAAAGTGAGGCCAACCGAGAACAGCCTGTGCCTCCAGTGTTACAGCTACTGATGGCTCTCGGGTTTTACGGCGCTGGCACATTCCAAACCAGTCACTGGGAATCTCGTCCGCATTCCGTAGTCGACAGTTTGCTGTGCAGTAGGAAAAGTTACGCTACTCATCGCAAAGCACCTGTGCGCAATGCTGGTGCGCTTTCCGCAGCTGGCAGCACTTTCTATACTTATGCGGGACTTTTATGAAGTGGCTGAGTTCCCTGGTGTTACAGGCTGTGTAGACTACACGCACGTGCGCATTAATAGCTTCGGTGGGGACGACGCCGAAGTGTTCCGTTACCGCAACGGCCATTTCTGTTTTTCTCAAACACGACGACAATTTCCGCCTCCTTCAATACAAAGTTGACTCGGTGCTGTGTCTGTGTGCCTCGTCTATCTTTTCGTCCCGTCTAGGGCGCTGTTTCTCGCTCAGAAAGGCATCGCTTGTAGCACAACGCTACGTAAAATTCCACACACATAAAAAAGAGGTGCCCCTGTCACGGGTTTTTTTTTATCCGCTTCACCATCATGCAGCGATACACTGCTGCACCCCGCGGGACAAAATTCTGCTGAGGGCAATGTCCTGACTCCAGCTTTTTCTCTTGTTTACCAAGCTCAACAAAAGGATACGAATCCCATTTGTTCCCAGAACTTGTTTTTTTTTTTTCATAATAACTGCGACCTAGCCCGCTACAGGCATGCACACAGGTGAACAGAAAGGCAAATACCGTGAAAATCGCATCAACTCGTGGGCCAGGTCAGCCCAAATACATGCCATGGCGTTCGATTGAAAAAAAAAAAAAGACGACGAAAGAACCCAACGCGATGCTTGCTTCGCCTCCAAACAAGCAACCGTGCAGAAACGCGCCGCATTTGGGTGGCCACTAAAACCAGTGGCAACGAACGCTCTACAGAAGCAACACTGCGCATCACAGTGGCGGCAGGCACCACGTGCCACTCGTTAGCCGTAAAATGGCAAGAATATGCTTGTAGCCCTTCGTTTTTATAGTTATTTTAAAACATGGTTTTTTCTTATGTAATACATGCCATACGTGAACAACTTCATTATTACCCTCGTTAGCAGGCATGCAGCGTATTTCTGCTTTGAAGCTCGTTCTTGACTTAACCAAGCAAGACAGCCTGATCATCTACGAAATGCGAAGGCTGACTTGGGCGTTTTGAAGTCCGCTTCTTACTTCGCGCCGACTTGCTCAAGTTAAGTTGAAGTCGCGAGCCAAGTAACATCTCTGCATTCGGGGGTAAGTGAGCCTTAAGAGCTCAACCGTGCTACAGTACCAATACTAACACAGTGCTAGGCATGCTAAAGGATATTTTGTGCGCGTATTAAGCACTTCCGCATATATCTGTGCCGCCAGCACTGCACTGCAAATCGAATACAAGCGAGAGGTATTGGAATCGATAACTCGCACCTCCCTAAATTTCTTAGTGTGTTTTTAGCAGGTGCTCGGTGGCGACAGTCACGGCCAGGCATGCACTGTCAAAGCGGGTGGCGTTTTTTTTCTTTTTTGTTTTGAGGTGACTCATTAGAATGCACTTGAGAGTGCAACCCATTATTTATACGTCCCAAGGCTTCGCTACACAGCAAACATTTCTGGCAGGCTTTTTATACGGCGGGAGTGCACGCTTGGAAAAATGTAGCACGATGACAAATAAGTGAAAAAAGAGGCGGTAGAATGATGGCGCCATCCTTGCATCTTTGACTGCCGTTGACGTGAGATAGGATTTCATCGCAACCGTGGGAACGCGGGATGCGATGAGGGATGAATATGATTTTTTCGTGCTACTACAACAATCAAAAAGGCATGCGATTGAATGACGATTGATATGTGGACTTTAACGTCCCAAAATCACCATATGATTATGAGAGATGCCGTAGTAGAGGGCTCCGGAAATTTCGACCACCTGGGGTTCTTTAACGTGCACCCATATCTGAGCACATGGGCCTGCAGCATTTCCGCTTCCATCGGAAATGCAGCCGCCACAGCCGGGATTCGATACCGCGACCTGCAAGTCAGCAGCCGAGTACCTTAGCCACTAGACCACCACGGCGGGGCAGCAACTGAATCTCAAGGAGATTCTAGGTATCCCAGATTAACGACCTTCTACACACACCACATGACTACATGTTGCGTCAACCCAGGCCAACGTGGCATCGTCACGATCTTTCTTGGACACCATATAAGATCTCGTCTCGACTAAACCCTCAAATGTTCGTTCTTTCTGCGCGCTATAACCGGTTGGAATAACCTGCAGCCATTTCAAAATATAGGCGCTTTTACCATTGAACATATATCTGCTTATTGCCATATGGCATGACTAATCCTTCATTTCTCATTTTGCCTATTTCAAGTGTTTCGTTGGTATATAAGAATATGTTCATGTGCATGCATTGGGTGCTTACTACCACTATGCCCTTCATATGTCATTTTTATTCATACTGTTGTTGATCTTTGTTCAATTTTTAGCTGAATTAGTTGTGACTTCCTCAGTAGTTTTTCTTTTTCTGATTGATATTCATCTAAGTATTCAGTTATTGCCCTCCTGGTTGAACTCAGATAGGGTATGCAGTACTGCGTGAATAATTAAAATAAATAAATAAAGAAATGTAAAAATAAACCTGCTCTCTAACATCACTCTTTCAGCCAAACATCACGACCGTCGTGCATTTTCAGCAAGTAAATAAAATGTAAGCTGAAAATACATATGAAAAGTATGACATCTACTTCATCTTTACGAGACATTTTGATGAATTCAGTAAATCTAAAAATATATACTTTGTGCCAATGTATGTGCCATTTATCTAAAAACTTCTACTCTATGTTCACGCACAGGCTACTTCCGGGATAGAGAAGGCGCCTACGATGTCCTCTTTCTCATCTGTGGATCGCTGACAGTGCTGGCTGCTCTTGCGTGGACTCTGTTTTTCTTGCTAGAAGCAAGGCGAAATAGAAACAAAATGACGAAAGAGTGCACACATGCAGAGAACGGGGTGGAAATCACACGCATGTGAACCTCCAATAACGTGAAACAGGCAGCGGCCGATAAGGAACACTGAGCCGTAATGCGAAGCATGCGTCACAGAAACTTCAGGAAGTTGGAAAAATTGGCATGCTTAAGGAGCATCATGAGGGGGCGGTTGTGCGATCTTGCTTGTTCTGCTTGCAAGCTTTGACAGCTTTCCGATTAAATTGTTTCTGCGCAACAATGCTATTTGTCATGCTTATGAGTGCATTTGTCTTTTTGGTCGGTAAGCTCGTCCATCCTTTCGCCTGATATGTATCTATCTATTTATCTATCTATCTATCTATCTATCTATCTATCTATCTATCTATCTATCTGTGTAGAAGTATATGAAAATTTTATGATGGTACCCAAAATGCGAAACTCATCGTCGTCATACAGGACATAGAACAGTTTTGCATGTGGTTTTTTTCTAATTTATTTTATAGCTCTCTATATCTATCCTCTTTCCGATCCTTTTCCCCACCCCCGCACAGGGTAGCAAACCAGTTCGCCTAGGTTAACCTCCCTGTCTCTTCCTTTTAATTATTTCTCTCTCTCTTTGTTTATGTGCTCCGTGTCCTTTGCAATAACGTATTTGTTGTCAGCCTCGCTATACAGAAGCGCTGTTTAACTCATCCCAAATAACAACTGATTGTCACTTGTCTGCTTTTAATTCTTTTTCTAAATGTTGTCATTGTAGACAGTGATATATTTGTATAAAAAATGCTCCTAAAACGTCTTCGCAGCGCTTGTACCACGCTTCTTTGTGCCGTTTGATTTTTTTTCGTGTAGTGTATTAGCAATCGCTGACTCGCTATGCTACGTCTTATTCATAATGTAGTGAGATCTCAGTGTTGGATCCAAATGTGATCCACGAAGCCCTGACGCCCTAGTCATGTACAAAAAAAAATTTTCAAAGTACGAATTTCTTTTGTTTTCTGTGAATAAACATCATCCATGTGTATGTGTATTACCTTGCTGATCTTTATTATTGGTTTTGGTATTATATGTGTTTTCTTTTAGATACCAGTAAAGACAAAAATGTGGTAACTAAATTTTATACGAAGGAGTTCTCAAGTATCCTAAACAGTCAAACATATGTTTCAGCCCAACACGCATTCGTTTGGCACTGGTTGTTACAGTTACTAGGAATGCTTTAGTCAGTGTTACTTTTACGTACAGAACATACAGAATTGCATGTTTTCTTAATGATTCATGCTTCAAAATTCATGACCGTCCTGCGACCATGGTTACTATCTTTACTACCTAGCATTCAAAGACGAGCGAGTGGTTTTTTTCTCGCCTTCGCTACCTTCGTACAGACAACAAGGTATATGTAAACTGATAGCGTAGCTTCCATAGAAGCTCATGGATCCAGTAGTCGGCGGCTCGTTGCCACCGTCACCATATACGTGAAGAAGAGATAAGTAACAACAAAAAATCAAAAATAAAAGTGACATCACAACCAGGAGCGGTAGCTACTCACGCATTTGCCCTACATGGCGCGAAATCAAATTTTTCTTCATTGCTCTCCTGCTACGTGCATTTATTACGCGATTTTAATGCGCCTTAATTGTGTCTGCGAAAGAAAAAAACTAAATAACAAAGAATGAGTAAGCAAAGTTATTTTATTAGTCAAATGACGTACTTGCAATATGCACAAGAAACTTCACCGAGGCAATTGTGAGGCAACTGTTCACGAGCACAATAGCATAATGGCGGGATCAAATCCCGGCTGTGGCGGCGGCATTTCCGATGGAGGCGAAAATGTTGTAGGCCCGTGTACTCAAATTTGGGAGCACGTTAAAGAACCCCAGGTGGTCAAAATTTCCGGAGCCCTCCACTACGGCGTCTCTCATAATCAAATAGTGGTTTTGGGACGTTAAACCCCACAAATCAATCAATCAATAACATAATGGTTCGAAAGCTAACGTTGACCAATCGATGAAAATCACTGCAGCGAGACAGCAGTTTTGAAAAATATAGGTTTGGCAGCTGTAGAGTACAGCCTCTTGTTGGTTAGCCTGTCGCATTCACAGTCACCAAAGGCGAGGGCAACGCCGGCCGTGCGCCAGCGAAAGCAGTCGGCAGTCACAGGAGCGGCTATCTACAGTCTGTGAGCTAGCAGAGCTATGAAATGCACATAAAAATAAGTAAACTTCTGAAGGTACGTACGAAACCATCACGGAAAAGTGAGCAATGCCTCAATGACCTGGCAATGCGCCGAAACAAAAACACACCGAACTAAACACGAGCTCTGATAGCATATCACCTGAATACGCCCCAAAATCCGTTGGCTGATGTTACCAGACTGTCTGCATGTGCCCACTGTTTCTGAAAGCAAACGCAAAAAGAAAAAAAAACAGGTGCTCCACCACATACTGAAGACCAAAGCTTCATTAAAAAATTCTACTAATTTTTTGTAAGAAATAAATAGAGAACTATTCAAAGTAAACGTCTAAATATTTTTTCGCTATTTGTCCCCCCCTCACCTAGTCACGCTTCAATCCTCACGTGGCTGCTGATGTCTGTCACAATAGGTTTCAGACCACTTTTTGTTCTGATTTTCGCGAACTGTTTAGATTGACCTTGCAGACAATTTATCCCCCTTGCCACAGATTTTTTTTGAAAGCACATTTTCTTTTTTAGTGCAACGCGTTCAGCCTAAGAAGATTTCGCGCTTTTCAACTACCCACTGTTACTACCACTTGCGCTGTTGGAAACCATAAAGGAAGTGAAATAAGTTGATTGAGCACGATGGTAGGCAAAGAAAAACGGATGAATTCATCGTTGTCGGCATAAGCAGTATGAGAAACTTTTAAATCATTTATGATGGTAGATTTTAGTGGCGCAAAGGCAACTCAGGCCAAAGAGCGCCAAACACACGGTTTTTGGTCGATTTGATTATAGAAAGTGTACTCAGGGTCGCAAGAATAAAAGAGTGGAGCATAGGATTTAAACTTTGGTGTCGTGACTATGTGTGAAGGGTTTAAAACTGGCTATGCTTGTGGGTTTGAAAGAGTCATGCAGTGTCGGCAACAGTTCTTGCCAGGAAAAGGAGTGCGTGCTGCATGGCATTTGATAAAAAAGTTTCAGCGGTTCCCTCAGGATTGAGAAGAGGCTGAGATTAGTGAGAATATGTTATGGAATGTAGGAAGCCTACACTCGCTAAAAACTTTAAAACCACTTTTGGGGAAAACAAGGAATCGTCTACAAAAAAAAATTGAAGGTGAGGTGGAATGTGGCATTAGTACAGCTTTGAGAAGTGAGAATCCTTCTGGTTCGAGGTATAGACAGGTAATTAGAACTTGAACGACAGACAGCGCATCACCAATTTTTGCACAATGTGGTGCTAGAGAGTTGTTTAAAAGGTGTGAGTGTGTTGCATGTGTATGACCAATCCTGTGTCTGCACAGTGCAACCTCTTGGTGCCTGTTACGTTTTTCAGTCACATATCTTTTTGTTCTTGGCTTTACTAAGTGCAGTTTGCGTATGCTGCGTTCCGTTCCTCTTGCGATTGTCTACGCATTTGGGTTCTGATGAGTAGCCTCAGGTCCTCATACGTGATGGTGTCTACGTAAGTTGATGGGCATAGTGCAGCTGGCTTCACAAATATGTCCGCTATCTCCTGGTCAGCTATGTTGCAGTGTCCTGGAATCCAGCATAGCATGATTTTCAGCTTAGATTTGTAGGCTGACTTGATGCATTTTAGAAGAGTATTAGTAACTAGGTTTTCGAGGGTCTTAGTGTAGGACATCGCAGTCACAGCACTGAAACAATATGTGTATATAATTGAGGCTGGTTCTTTCGCCTTTAAAATATGCCTTACAGCTAAAAGTATGCCATAGCATTCTGCAGAAATGGGCTATTATGTTCGTGCATTGTTCTAGATTCAGAGAATGCGGGACCATGTGCCGCACATGCGACTGCAGAGTACTTAGAGGCATTAGTATAATACTCACTACACTTGTATTTGAACTGCAACTGCATGAAGTGTGGATCAATTGCGACTGGGAGGCCATGCTTTCCTACCTCTAGGAATGACAAGTAACAATTGATAGCCAGCATTTCCCACGGCACCACAGTGTCCTTGTGAGAGCTTAGTTGAAGATTGGAGACCAGTTGTGCATGTTTTCAAAGTGCGAGGCCACTCTGAAAGGATAAGGTGACGTAGCTGACGGTCGCCTAAAAAACCGGTGGGCGTTTGATGTATCCTGCAATAGCAGCATGAGCTGGGTGGTCGACATGGGAAAGCCCCTTGGTAGCATACGTGACACTTGTGAACTGACGTCGCCGTTCTAGTGACCACCAGTCTGTCTCAACATACAGGCTGACTGTTGGGCTGATTCGGAAAGCACCGCTCGTCAGCCGAAGCTCAAGGTGGTGAACTGGGTCAAGCATCTTCAGTGCAGATCTTGACGGTGACTCGTAAACCACCGAGCCATAATTAATACGTGAAAGCATTACACTACTAAGAAGGTTCAGTAGACAGTCACGGTCTGTACCCCATGACTGATGCTGGAGAGTCTTGAGCAGGTTTAAGGCTTTGAAGCATTTAAGTCGTAGCTGTTGGATAAGTGTAATAAAGCTGAGCTTTTCATCAACCACAACACCTAAATACTTGTGATCTTTTTTTTAGTATCTATGGCTTGTACATTCATTGAAATGTTGGGGAATGGCCTTATACCACGTAGTTTTGAAAAGGGTAGGCAAGCAGTCTTGTCACAGTTAAACTTAAAACCATTTTCGTCTGTCCAGCTTGCGAGCCTATTTACTGCTAACTGAATCCGACGTTCGCCGATGGCTAGGTTGCTCGATTTGGATGCCATCCACATATGCAGAGTAGGAGATTGTTTTAGGCAATATAGTGCTTATGCAGTTCATTTTTACGGTGAACAGTGTGCAGCTAAAGACACCACCCTGGGAGATGCCATTTTCTCGCGTAAACCACTTTGATAAGGCTTTTTCAACACGAACCACAAATGTACGGTCAGAAAGGTAGTTTTCAATGATATTCAACATACCTCCTGACACTTCGAAAGATTGCAGGTCACGGAGAATACCATAATGCCATGTCGTGTCGTAAGTCTTCTCGAAGTCAAAAAATACAGGTAGGCAGCGTTGTTTATGAATGAAGGCATCCCTTACATAGTATTCAAATGGTACCAGTTGGTCAGTTGTTGACCGGCCAGATCTTAATCA